TATTTGTATGGAAATTATTAATTAAATGTGTTTGATTCATTTTCAACATAGAAAATATTATATTTGTCTATTTTTTATTGTTGTGTAGATGAGAGAAAAATGATAGATGAGAGATAAAAGAAAGAATAGATTCCCTGGAAAATAAAATTCTTATTTCTTTAAAGAAAATATTCTTCTTGATTTTGAGGACAAAATGTTAACATGACCAAAAGTAGGAATATACTTTCCCTGGAAAAAAATGTCAATCAAATACCACAAAAATAGAAATTTGGATGAGAAAAACACATTTTCCAATCAAACGCACCTTTAAATGTTTTTAACTGAAATTTTAATGAATTTCAGTTGAGAACATCACCGTTAATATAAAGTTCAGAAAAGGGGACAAAGTTTGCAATTACATAATTGTAGAAATGGGAAAAATTGAATTTGGTCAAGATGAAAGTCGAGACTTTTTCTCCTTCAGATGAATATGTCCTGCATCTTTGTTCATGGTTTGTTGGCACGAGCCTACTATGATTCAACAACTATTTCTCATACAGTCCCGCTATAGGTGCACGAACATTTGACAAAAAATTTACAGAAATTTGAAATGGCTGACGTGGCAGTAAAACACACGACTTCTTCCCTATTAAACCCAAATGAATTTCAATTGACACACACCTTCCTCCCGATTGCCCCCAAATCACACCGACACACGACTCCTCCCGAACCCAAGGGCGCTGTCGTACTTGCCATCACCACCAGCGGCACCGACGAAGGAACATCTCATCCTTCACATTTACACCCTTAGTAGTCACGATTCGCCGGCACTAATGTAAGTGTTTTTTAAATAGTTGTCTTCCATAGATTCTGAGATTGGAAAGTGGGTAAGCAGGTTGGGTAATGGTTTTTGACATGGATTATGAGGTTGTCTCCGAATTCATGCACTGTTGAAGGTTTATATTGTTTTTGAGCCCTTTGGACATGAATGATTCTCTCTCTCTCTCTCTCTCTCTCTCTGCGTCGATCGATGATTGTGTGGAGTGTGGATCAAAGAATAGATATCATGCTTGAGCATAAAGTGAACCCATGAAGGAAAACTATGTAGATTGGTCACGAGTTTTACATATCGAGCTTAAAGTGTTTGAATTTGTGATTTTGAAAATGTAATAACAAATTCAAAACACATTTCCAATAAACTGGACATTTGAAGATGACACTACCCCTTCTGCAGAACTCCCCAATCCCCATCGGAAGACTTGCAATAAAAATATAATCCCGACCATCCTTTGCTCTCCCAATCCTGCACATGTTTTTTCTGGGTTTTGTAGTTGTGGTGATATAGTTTAACAATAAATGAACCCATGAGTTTTTATTTATCCTATAATCAATCTTATTTATTGATAATCAATCATGTATCTACAATGAGGTTTTCTAACCTTTTGATTTCATTTGCAATAATCGACTATAATGAGAGGAAGGAATTTTGGGGTCTGTCACAGTTGTAGAAGTAAAGCGCACTACTTCGAACAATGCTAGTTGAGACTCCGGTGCCCTAGTTGTGACCATGGATATCAAAAATGTTTTGAGGTGGAATGGGATATCGGGAACAAAGGCCGATTGTTCTTTACTTGTAGCAATGATTGTGGGTACTTCGATTGGGTGAAAGATGAAGCTTTAGGTGGGGATTCGAGTTCTATTAACGATAAGGTCAATGAGGTGCCGGAAAGGATGATGAAGAGCTTCCAAGATTATTTGATGGGCTAGCTAGAATTAGCGAGAAACGTGGCATCAACATTTCGTTGCACATGACTTTTAGCAAGGGAAAAGGAATCGAGAAATGTGACGGGGAAGGAAAGAGCTCAGTTTGAAGGGGTGATTTTAGTCATGTCTTTGGTTGAAGTAGTAGTATGATCTCTTAGTTTTATGCATGTCTAATCTGCATTTAAATGTGGTTTGTAAGACAACAATGGATGAGTTTGGATCATAGTTGGTGTACATGGATTGAATTTCGTTTAGTATGATCACTACAATTAAGCCTTACTTGGATTGATTTTAGAAAATTGCACCGCAGTTGACTTTGGGATCCCAGCATGTTTTTGCAATTAATACTGATTGTTTAATGAGTTCAAACGTCCATATTCCAAACATTGTTATTAATTAATGTTCAGGCTGTTAAACTTTTCATATTTATGTTGGATTTTTGAAATTCTTGCAAGGCAACTACTTTAGGCATACTATGGTGCCATCATCTTTGTACCTTGGATTTGCTACTTCAATAATATGGGTTGCACAGGTTCAATAAGTTGTTTCAATATCTGCTGCGTTTTATCATCTAAGTTGACACAAAGTTATCATCTAAATTAACATTGACATAACTCCCCAGCGAGAAAACAACTAACACAAACGAAATGTCAAAAATCGAAGCCAAATTAAGTATTTTAAGTACCAAACTTGTCATTTTCTTGAGCAGAATACCAAGAATATTTCAAACC